CAACTCATCCGCTTGCTCCGGATCAACGGTTGGCAGCGCGGTTTCCTGTATATATATAAGAAAGATAAAATAGGAGGTAGACTGGAGAGGTGAGAGGGTTTGGGAAGAAGGAAGATTATAAAAAAAAAAAAATAATAATATTGATGGAACGTCTCCGAGATGGCAGTGTTATTATGTAGTTTAGTATCTGCAGGGGACAATGAACGGAATAGTAGTCCTAGGGTGTCCTTGGGTGCAAGATCCTAGACAGAGGTTGATGACATTTATTGGCCAGGGCATAATGAGTTTTGCGTGTGCTCTCTCTAGCTTCTAGGGAGTATTCTTCAGTGAGACGGAGGAGCTCTCGGCAAGTGTTAGAAAGTTCGAGTAGAATAGGTGCATCCAAATCCTTTTTATGGAAGGCTTTCCAGCAAGATATAGTGGAGAAAAGTGTGGAAATGTCCTGTGCTCATTTTTTTTTTTTTTTTTAAAGGTGCGTCCCAGGTTTAATAAATACACCACAGACAGTACATTTGGGAGCCTCCCACTTGATCAGAGGATGAGTGTCGGCTTGAGCGTATGTTCACACAAAAGGTGTGAATTGTTTGGATGACGTCCGCTATGCAGACTGAATCAAGTAATAGATTGTCATTAAGACGCCAGGATATGGAACCTCCAGGATATGGATATGTGATCGGATCATAATCCTATACCGGCAGAGGGGGAGGAACCGCCAGGATATGGATGTGATCGGATCATAATCCAATACCGGCAGAGGGGGAGGAGTCGAGTAAAGCTTGAGAAATGAGAAAATATTCCTACTGTAGATGTTATGAAGGGAATAATATCTGCAATCCCTCTCAGATAGATGTAGGACTCGCCACACATCATCAACATCTTGTAGTTTGTGTAATAGGGCCTTGAATTGCTGTAGCAAGGAACAGGAAACAGAAAGCCTACCCGAAGTAAAAGCCATCGCTGGGGCCAACGCCAGATTAAGGTCTGCAACCAGTATAAGGTTGTGAGCTCCAAAGTCTCAAGTTTCAAAGTGATGGTGGTGAAGAAGTGCACTGGGTTCTGGTTAGGAAGATAAACATAAGCAAAAGTGTAAAAAAACTCTTCCTTTTTCAAGTTAACCACTTGGCTACCGGGCACTTTCACCCCCTTCCTGCCCAGGCCAATGTTCAGCTTTCAATGCTGTCGCACTTTGAATGACAACTGCACGATCATGTAACACTGTACCCATATGCAATTTTTATTTTTTGAGACAGATAGAGCTTTTCTTTTGGTGGTATTTAATGACCCCTGGGTTTTTTTTTTATTTTTTAATAAACCAAGAACAAAATTTTCAGTTTAGTTTCGGTTATAAAATTTCATAAATGAGTAATTTTTCTCCTTCACTGATGTGTGCTAATGAGGCTGCAGTGATGGCCATTACTCATATGGTACTGATAGGCAGCACTGACAGGCAGCACTCATAGTTGGCACTCACTGGCAATTATAGGTGGCAGGGAAAGGCAGCTCAGATGGGCACAGACAGGTGGCATTGATGGGGCTACACTGATCATCAGGGCACTGACAATCAGTGTAGATGGCCCCTCTGAGGAATGCAGATTACTAGCTGTCCTCCCTAGCAGTCAGCGTGACAGCTCGGGAGGAGAGAAATGCCGATAACCGGCATTTCCTTGTTTACATGCGATCAGCTGTGATTTCTTCACTGTAAGAGCTGTAAAAATGTAGTCTTCACTGTAAAAGCTGTGAAATTGTAGAATAGACTCCCTCAAGAGTTGGTTTTGGCCAGCTCAGTGGATTTCTTTAAAAAAGGCCTGGGTTCTTGGATACACAGAATATAACTGGTTACTAACATTTATAGGTAAAAGTTGATCCAGGAATAGCAGATTGCCTCATGAGGGATCAGGAAGGAATTTTTTTCCCCTGCAAGAGCAAATTTGATCATGCTTTGCTGTTTTTTTTGTCTTCCTCTGGATCAACTGTGGGTGCAGGATAATTATTTTTTTTTTTTTTTTATAATGGTTGAACATTTTTCTTTTTTCCCCCCAGAGTATGTAACTATGTGACCACACACACACGCCTCTTAAAAGCAATGTAATATTGCTTTTTTTTAACCTCTCTTGCCTGTGTGGTATAATACCTGGTTGATCCTGCTGCTGTCCCGCCTCCCATGTGTGGTCAGTCGTGTCATCCAGCTGTTAACACAGGCACACTGCACAGTGTGCCTGTATGCTTTGTGGTCTGTAGCAAGCCACGCGCCCCCCCCCTCCTCCTCTTCTTACTGCACTGGTTGGGGAAGTGACGTTTTGCTGCCAGGTCTCGCTGTGCTTCATCGCCATGGAAATTCCGGCAATGATGTCACATCCCTGTCAACATGCCCACCAGCATATACATGGATTGCTCAGGGAGCTACAGTGATTACGTCACCTGCAATTTACATACAAGGGATTATATTATAGCCACACTTTTACAGAAAAAAGAAACCTGCAGCCATGACTAGATAACAGTTGTTTAATAACTTTTCATACTAGTGACCTTTACAATCACTGGCAGATTTATATAGGCCTAAAGCAACCAACTGGTTCTGGAATAAAAGAATATAAAATGAAAAACCCTAATGGATTACTATTTGACAACACAATTTTCTTAGAGCCCTTTGTGCAATGGTCAAGTAATTTACATGAATCACGATCATTAAAAGAGTCAAAGTGCACACGTAAAAACTTTACATAAAAGCAAACATCAATACAAGTCAGTTTCCACACAAATTTACTAGAAAAAAAAAAAAAGAAAAAGAAAAAATAAGGCATTTGTTTGAAAATGTATAGGCTACTGGCTGAGCCAGCTGTAGCAAATTAACCCCACTGAGTCACTGCAGTATCAGCAGCACCCAAAGTATTCATACTCTGTATGATCGGGGGTAGCAAAGTGGCTAAGTGGTTAGCACTTCAGCCTGGCAGTACTAGGGTCGTTGGTTCGAGTTTGCACGTTCTCCGTGTCTACGTGGGTTTCCTCCCACACTCCAAAGACATGCTGTTAGGGCCAATTTAGACAGGATCCAATTAACCTAGTATGTGTATGTATGAATGTGAGTTAGGGACCTTATATTGTACATCCCCTGAGGGTTAGAGACTGATGTGAATATATATATATAGCTCTGCATAAATTGATGGCGCTATACAAGTACCTGAAATATTTAAAATAAATCCACTATGCACTATTTCTAGAATACAAATCAGAAATATTCAGCAGTAGAAAGAAACCCAAGTGTGATATAGAAACTAAATAAGTGATTTCTACAGTGTTCTAGTGCTCATTTAGCCCTGGTTCACACTGATGCAGTGTGGCAAACTGCAGCGCTTCCCTGTGAGTTTCCCACACCACCTTGCAATTGCACTGTGTTCTGCGATCTGCTGTGAATGTCACTTGAAAGGTAACGACCTTCCAAAAGCAGATTGCAAAACTCCATGCAGATGCAGTGCGATTTGAGCCTTTTCAGAATGAATGGGCTCAAGCTGAACTGCACAAAAATCACATGTGAATTGCCTAGTGTGAACCTAGGTATAAACAGTTTGTGTGTGTGGTCACAGCTTCTTAAACAGATTTGACATTTTAGGGTTGTTGTGCATTCGTGTCATGTGAAAAAAAACAAAAAAAAAAAAAAAGTGACAAATGCAGAAGGGGAAAAACTCCTAAAGTGAGGATAGGGTAACAAAGAAAAAATGTGCACAAAACATAACATCTCACAAAGCAAAAAACTTTCAAACTGTAAACATCAAACCTGTATGCTTAGTACTATATTGGCCACTACAAAGCCCGCAAGCTTCATGCATCAAGGAGTCAAAAATTCTCTAGTCTCAGAGCCACAAGATTCATGATCTTTCCTATGCAGGACAGAGAGTCTATAGCTGGTGGGTGTAGAAATAAACCACTCTTATTACTAAGCCTGATACATTTGTATTAAACAAATATCCTTTATTCTCAAACTTAAGTGCAAAAATGTCTTTACTGGAGTACTTTTGTTATTGTTTTCACAGATTTCTTGACGGTAAAGACTCTTCAAGTTCATCCACATTTGCTGTGTTGAGTCTCTTGATCTTTGTATCTGAAATGATACAGTGTAATGAATAAGTGATTAGTCATTGACCTAGGAGTTCATTTTTGCATTTGTATCATGTGCATTTTGAGACAGACATCTTGTCTTTACATTTTGCAACAGGGGTTCTGCAGTCCTACAGCAAGATATGAACTGAACACTAAGGGGGTAGATCAAGGGCACTGGAACCTGGAGCTAAATATAGGTAATAGTTTCGTGTTCAACTTAATGCCACAGTTATATTGAAGTGGTCCCTGTAGGGCATCTGATCAGTAGGTATGCAACTTCCATACACCAGGGGTTAGCACAGTCACCCTGGGATGTGTAGGCTAAACTCTGGACTGGCCCATCAATTTCCAGATCTGACACGAACGAAGGGCAATAAGGGTTTAACACAAAATTTACAAACGAGATGTGAATGGGGCTCCAGAGTAAATTTTACACTCTAGGAGGGTATCTCAGTATAGCCGCCAAAAATGCTGCGTATGAATCCAACAAAAATCAGAGCTGAACATGTGGATGACAGGTCTGTGTCCGCTCACGCACAGCTCACGCTGCTCTAGAGGCAGTGGAATGTAAACGGACCTACTGTCCATTGACATCTGAGTACCCTCTGATCTGATGAGGTGGAGGGGAACAGATCCCCCTTCCATTTGTTTTGGCAGATCGGAGGTAGGTGGGTGTAACTAGACAAGTCTGTTTACACCTGCCGCTCCACAGAGCAGAATGGAGGGTGTGCCTGAAAAACAGACCTGATGAGACCACTCGTGTGAAAGGGGCCCAACAAAGACAATTCACAGCTTTGGAAGCCTTCCTGTGCCATGACTGGGAATACTTTTGCCACCAAAAAGTCAGTCACTCTGTAAAGCTTTAGGTACTTTCAAAAAATTTTAATATACGCAAATATGAAGGTCTATTTACCAAAATGTTCTTCTATTTGACGTAACATGTTCAAATAGCATCTTTCAATGAGACTGATGGCAATGCCCTTCTTTCCAAATCTGCCGGTGCGTCCGATACGGTGCAGGTAAGTGTCAAAATCAACCTGACCATCTGTGTTCACGGGCAGGTCAAAATTTACCACGATTGACACCTGTTCCACATCAATTCCTAAAAAGAAAATTAAAATTGTAATGTCGTGCTGACTAAAGTTGTATATCATACAGCATGGAACAAGCATAATTTAGCGAGTTACAAGCTATGCAGATCACCACCTCTACTGCAGCCCCACAGGGCTACACACTCCCCTATGTAGGGAGGGGAGAGAATATGGAGAGGTTTATATAAAAAAGGTCCATTATTTGCTGCAGGGGGGTGGGAAGGGAAACAGAATGGTGGCCAGACTACAGACCAGAGACCACGAGAAGGAAGACGCAGAAGAAAAGCCAACTTGTGTTTTCAGCCAGGTATCAGTGAGTTTTGGAGCATTTTCACACACCAATCACCCAGCCAGTGTCCCATCCACATCTGGCAGTGTCCACAGTGGAATGTCAACATGTGTCCTAGTGCGCCAGCATCTGCCATAGTGTCCCAGTGGATTAGAACAACTGTTTGCATTCTAGTGCTTTACTCACCCAGATTTTAGAAAAACCCACTGTCTCACATACACAGGCCACTCAAAAGCCTCAAAAAAGGAAGTGAAAAAATACCATACAATCTACGAGCTTGACACAAACAATTCACCTCGTGCGCAGACATTTGTGGTGATGAGAACTTTCACTTTGCCTTCACGGAATTTCTGAATAGCGCAGGCTCGTTCTGTCATTGTAAGCTCTCCACTCAGAAGCTCTACCGTGTGACTGTCAATCACCATTTTACAGGCAAGCCATTTAGCTGTCTTGCGGGTCTGTTAAAAAAAAAAAAGATAAAAAAAGTTAAAAAAAAAAAAAACAGATGCGGATGAAGGACCAACTCTGAGACAGCTGCATCTCAAGGTTATAAGGTTATTAGTCATTAACCTCCAAGGAGGTCTGATTATCTCAGTAATTTTGAATCCAAAGCGGTACATTGTTTTGCATGGAAATTTGTGGTTTTATATTGTAGGCGTAGGAATAACTCACTTAAATCTGTCCAAACAAAATAAGTCTAGTAAACATCCCGGGTATGATCAGGTTTGAAACACAAAAGCATATTTTAGAATATAATAAATTATAAAAAATAATATACATTTAATTCAATAATGTAATCAAACCAAAAACACATTGTTCAAACAAGGGTGCAATATTACTAGACACTACATATTGGTTTAGTAAACCTCCCGGGTATAAAAAATTTTGAAACACGGGACTGCACAAAGTCAGACGTTACAATCAGGATAACGGAATCTGGTTTCCTTTCCAATTTCCCTTCCACTGTCACCCCACTTCGAGCAAACAAACCAGGAACATCCTAGTAGGTGCTGACTTTCTTGTTTGGTGAGAGTAGTCCATGAAGGGTCAACCAGTTAGGCGTTCCGGGTTGAAAAATGCCAACATTACGACGACCTCTATTCACAGTCATTGATGGCGTTTGGTGGTTCACAAAAGATACATTCTGCAATTTTCTGAAAAGGTCCGAATGAATCACAGGCTTGTCACTTTGAGCAGAATGTAGGAATTCCACAAGCATTCTCAAGAAGATGCCTGAAGATCTTGTAGTACTTCTTTTGCTGTTTCCTCATTGCTGGGTAGAATGTCCTTGCTTGGTCGGCTGTCAAACACCTCCCATGGTGTTATTGTAGTCTATCACTACTCTTGGCTTCATTTGTTTCCCACCTTTTGTGCATACCATAACACTGGAGGTATTATGACTCATACTCATTAGGCACACATCTTTTTCACACCATTGCAGTGCCATCATTTTGCCTGACAAGCAATTATTTCTCCAGTCTTCAGCTTCTTATTGCCAAACATTGGCAGCATCTTGTGCCGGTTAGCCCTAATGGTTCCATAGGCATCGGTTTTGTTTTGTAGAAGAACCTCAAAGTTCAGGAAACATATAAAGGTTGTTAGTTGTCACCCAATAGCCCTGATTTAGCAATGGCTCAATTAGTGAAAGAACAGAAGATGTTGCCATTCCATAGTTGCTGTATTTTGGATTGAATTTTGTTCCTTTTCCAGTGTATATAACTAAATTCCAAATGTAGCCAGTTCACAATTCGCATAGCATGTAGGTTTTTATGCCAAATCATGCTCTCTTTGATGCAACGTACTGCACCCAGCTGAGCATTCCCTTGTAGGCCATTAGACTTTCATCTATGCCGATATCTTTCTGGCACACACCGCCGTTGGAAATTCTTTAGAATCATTTGAGATACTTTTCTTTAGTTTTGGTGCATTTGGTGAGTATTTGTCAATTTCTTTGTTGTTTTCAAAGTGTAAATAGTTCATGATCAGGGAAAACCTGTACTCTGACATGACTGTGCCAAAGAATGGAGTGGCAAGTAATTTATTAGTTGTTCAATTCCACTTCTGCATGGGTTTTCCCACCACTCCCTGAAGTATTATTAGGCCCAGAAATTTCCAAATGTCATCTTTGGTCACTGGTTCCCACTTTCTGCCTCTTGGAAACTTTCAATGCAGACTAGCCAATTGTTGCTCTTGGTACCAGTTTGTCTCAGTAACAATTTTTTCAATAACCTCATCGGTCAAAAATAATTGTAAGTATGCCAAGGGGTTGTCATGTTGGACATCTACCTTTCATACAAGGTGCTCCATTAAACGGCAATCTTGGGGGCGCTGTCTGATCTGTACCAGTCCATAGCGCACCAAAATTCGCACATCACTTAGCTCAGTCGCAGAATCATCACTGTCCTCACTTTCAGTGTTTGATGATGAATTTCCCCAGGAATCACTATCGCTCAATTCTACAAGTGATTCTAATTCACCGTCGCCGTATTCTAGCTGGTCCAAAACCACTTTTGGCATACAGGGATGCTTTTTGGATGCCATGGACGTTCTCAAGTTTCCAGGCAGAAAGAACAGTCAAAATGCAGGCAGGGCACTGGACAAATCTGAGGTGAAATGGATTGATATGGTAATGCAATACTAACATATTGCAATGTATGGTGTGTGTGTCACATTATAACTTTTTTGAATTTCCCGCCGGTTCTGCCCCCCCGTACGTCCCGACCCTCGCAGAGAACGGAACCTGGGAGACGGATGCCGGAATCGGCCGGAGGACATGGCCAGGGACGCAGCGGGAGGCATCGCGAGACCACAGGACAAGGTAATCGCTCGAGGGATCACTGCAGTGTAATCCTGAGTGTTGCTCGGGGTTACCGCTTCTGATACTGAAAGTTAACCCCGCACTACACTCAGAATTACCGCCAGGGAGGTTAATTGCAGACAATTTCCTGATCCAGGCTGAAAAATTTTAAATGGAGCAGTTTTACATTTATGCAACTAACCATTTATCTCCTGTCCACTAGAATGGCATCAAGAACAATTCTCCCAGTTGGGGATGCATGTGGCACCCAGCATTCTGCCACGAGAAATGGAACCCACTTACTCAGATCATTTATAGACTTAAAGTGGCATTCCACCTAAAAGAAAATTAAAAATAAAATAAAGTCAGCAGCTACAAAAAACTGTAGCTGCCGATTTTTAAAAATACAGCCACTTACCTGACCCTCGGTCCAGTGGTGTCTTCACCACCGCTGATTTCACCGGCCGTCTTCTCTCCCTGGAGCCAGCATCTTCGGTGTGGGCACCCGGCTGTGACAGCTTGCGGCTTCACAGCTGGCTGCCCACTGCACATGTGCGAGAAGCGTTGCGCTTTATGAATGGCCCCCGTAATCTTCTGGGACCTGTCACGTGTCCCAGAAGACTACGGGGGAGGGGGGAGCACAACTTCTGCTTCCGATCGCCTAGGCAATCGCAGCAGAAGTGGTAGCGGGTGCCAATCCTTAATGGGGAGCAGGGGGACAAAGGCTTAAAGTGGAACTTCCCCTTTTGGGTGGATCTCCGCTTTAAACTTAAAAGATTTGCCCTTGTGTCTAAGCAGCAAAACAGACTAAACTTATGTCTTGAATTCTCCCTGGAAAAATAGTGTACTAGGTTTCTAGGCAGCCTTGTGCCTACATTTTTTTTTCCCCCTTTCAAAACTTCTATTTATTGAAGTTTTTGAAAGCAAGTACAAAACAGACTTGGGGCATTCCCCAGTTCAAAAACAAACACACCTGGATATCACTAAACATACTAAAAATAACAACCTTGTAGTAAAATCTTCTGCTCAGACCTGCTTTCTTGCATCAAGGAACATGAGTCTCCAGATGATCGTACCCCCCAGCATATAAAGAAAAAAAAATTGGGGGCAGAATCAGAAATCTGAATTACGCAATCCCTAAGTTAAACGAACACTTTGAAAACACATCAGATCTCCTAGATTGTAAGCTCGAAAGAGCAGGGCCCTCGAACCCCTCGTGTACGGTTTTGTTACTGTCTTGTCTCATGTTCTCTCCCCCTTGCTACTGTACAGTGCTGAGTATACCCTTTGGCGCTATATAAATACTGTATAATAATAATAATAATAATAATAATCTCACATCAGGTAAAATATGCTGGATATCTATACGGATATGGACTGGGTAATGTGTCAGGAACACAAGGAAATTAAAATCATCAACCTACAGAGGACTGAGTTCAAAAGACACCGCAGAAATCAAAGTGAAAAAAAAATGATGCAGCAGGCTAGTCCATTTTTCTGAAATTTCATTGCAGCAACTCAAAAAAAATAATAAAAAAAAATAAAAAATGGTACTCAGTTTGTATGGCCCCCACGTACTTGTATGCATGACATCAGGGCATGCTCCTAATGAGTTGACGGATGGTGTCCTGGGGTATTTCCTCCCAGATCTGGACCAGGGAATCACTGAGCTCCTGGACAGTCTGAGGTGCAACCTGGCTGTGTCTGATGGACCGAAACAAGATATCCCGGAGGTGTTCTATTGGATTTAGGTCAGGTGAGCATGGGGGCCATTAATTCAATGGCATCAATTCCTTCATAATCCAGGAACTACCTGCATACTCTCGCCACATGAGGCCGGGCATTCTCATGCACCAGGAGGAACCCAGGACCCACTGCTCCAGTGTAGGGTCTAACAATGGGTCCAAGTATTTCATCCAGATACCTAATGGCAGTCAGGGTGCCATTGTCTAGCCTGTAGAGGTCTGTGAGTCCCTCCATGGATATGCCACCCCAGACCATCATCCACCACCAAAAAACGGTCATGTTGAATGTTACAGGCAGCATCACGTTCTCTATGGCTTCTCCAGACCCTTTTGCGTCTTCACAGATGTGAGCAGGTTCACCCTGAGCACATGTGACAAAGCACAGGGTGCCAGTGGCGGATCTGACAATTGCCAATCGAGCTCTATGGTGCAGGGCAGTGTGCACAGGGCCTACTAGAGCACGTCAGGCCCCCCTCACGAAGTCTGTTTCTGATTGCTTGGTCAGACATTCACACCAGTGGCCTGCTGGAGGTAATTTTGTAGGGCTCTGGCAGTGCTCATCCTGTTCCTCCTTGCACAAAGGAGCAGATACCGGTCCTGCTGATGGGTTAAGGACCTTCTATGGTCCTGTCCAGCTCTCCTAGGGTAACTGTCTTCTGGAATCTCCTCCATGCTCGAGACTGTACTGGGAGACAACAAACCATCCGGCAATGGCACGTATTGATGTGCCATCCTGGAAGAGTTGGACTGCCTGTGCAACCTTTGTAGGGTGCAGGTATCGCCTCATGCTGCCAGTAGTGACACTGACCCTAGCCAAATGCAAAACTAGAGAAAAGTCAGAAAAGAGGAGTAGGGAAAAAAATGTCAGTTGTCTCCACCTGTAAAACTATTGCTGTTTTGAGGGTCGTCTCATTGT